GTTCCCTCGCTTGCCCTCGCATGTCTCATTTCCGTGGGGCGGGCCTGTGGAATATGCGGGGGGCAGCCGGGCCCATCGAGGCGATTCCCATTTTTGAGCGTCATGACCCGCCGTACGCTCCCGAGCACACGTTTTCGCATACCACGCGCCCGCTTTACTTTGATGACAGTTGCGGGACTCCAACTTCCCCAGTGTGTCCCGCAGTTTCTTGCCCTCCTGCTTTCGCGCTTCGTTTATAATTCATTCCTGGCAATTATTCCTTTCGGGTGGTCGCCTGTTGCAATGATGAGGCGCAATGGCAATCATGATGAGCACCGCCAGCGACACAATTCAGACACATCAGTGGCATGTAGGCTTGGCGCAACATGGGACCCGGCGCTTCGCTCGCCCAATGAAAAGCTGCGGCCCCGTTGCTCTGAAAAGCGCGTGGCACAAGTCGGTATCCCCACGCGGCAATCAAACGGTTCAGGAACAGCGCGTCATCAGAGGCACGCTCGGCAGACCCCACTGCAGAGCCAGTGGGTAAATTTAGAGCAGATTGGCACGACTGCGGCTTGCCATAGCGGACGGCAGGAATCATCTCGCGGTATTGTACGGGGTAAACGTCTACAATTCGCTGTGGCAGCCAGGCGCAGAACAGATCGTCAATGGCGAAAAAAGATGTTCGCCACGTTTCTGTCTCAGCCACATTCTCTAAGAATAATCGGCGGCGTTGAGTTTCTTGTGTCAAAGAGTAGAGGATAAAAAAGAAAAAAAAACGCAATATTAGGCAACGCCGCATTTCCCAATGCTCCATGATATGTCAGTTCAAATTTCTCAGAGACGTAAACCCTGTGTGGAAATGACGCCTCATCTCCAACCCGCTCTCATGAGTAAGTGAGATATGTTTGTGTGTGGGGAGAGGAATATAGTATTCGTCGGTGCCTTTGATTTTCATTCTCCTCGCCTCTTCTTTTCCGTCAAATGAGTGCCGCGCCCGGCAACTCTGAAGAAGCGCCGCCAGAGCCAAAGATAAATGACCCGACGCGCGTCAAAATATTGCCGAGTGGAGAAAGCGTCGGGAAGAGGACAACACTTGAAATAAAACTGGGAATTTGCTTCAGAAATTCAAAAAACAACACCTCCTGCACCATATTGCATACCTCCATAAACGTTTTTCTGGAGACGTCGCGAAAACGCACAGTAGGCAGCCTTATTGTGGCACGGTGCAGGGATGGAATGAACGTCCCAATTGGCGAACCACGAAAAAGAACATCTTCAGGAGGCCGCACCCTCCTGTCATAAGTTAGAATGACGCAGATCTCACATATGACCACAGAATTGATTTCAATGCGTCGGTTCCTTGAAAATGGAGAAATGAATGGCACGGCGATTGCTGGACTTGCGTCACCACCCTTACTTCCTTTCTTCTTCATTGCCTTCCATGAATTGTCTTGGCAGTG